CTCTTCTGTATGTATGTACGTATGTCTTCAGTCACGCCTATTCTGGTCATACCCAACTTGTGCACACTATCTATTTTAATGTCAATGATCTAATGCGGTAGTATTCTGATGAAATATTTTCACTGATGTGGGTGTGGTTGCAACAAAGTGGCGACTATTGACGGGAGCAATTCTCCAGCTTACTTGCAGCAGGATGAGACTCATCTGTTGTCCAGACACTTCTCGCAGCAAGAATGTCAAGAAAGCAGCTATATAATCATCAAGGTCTGTGATCATTTTTGAATCACAGATTATAAAAGCTTAGATTCCTTATCCATCTGAAAGAAGATTGCATGTGAGACAGTGACTGCTTTATATGCTCTAACTATCTTCTGTGCTACAAGGAAACTTTAAGATCTGCTGAAATTCTTAACTCATAAAGCTAGAAGAGCAAGCTCATAGTATAAAATTACTTTCTACTGATGAAAGTTCTGCTCTGCTCCACATAAGTACATCAACATTTATTTAGTCCTATGTGACTACATCTCTGCATCAATTTGTATAGACATTGTATATTGCTAATCAAAAATCGCAATTTTAATTGGTTTGCTTGCCCCTCAATGTTTTACATTCGCCTAGTTATTATTATTGGGGCGAGCAAAAGCGAGCCCCACTTAGTCGAGACGAGTATGTCTGTTTGTTTATCTGTTTGTTTGTACAAGCACATCACCCCTATTTATGCGTTTATAAAAATAATAATTACACATTTTAAAATGATAATTTTGATAATTACGGTATCACGTGCAAAGACAAGTAAAGCAACGTCAGAAATCACTAGAAGACAGGACGTAGAGAGAGATTTCAAGAGTGTTCAAGAAACAAGAGAAGCTGAAGCTTAAAGCATGAGTAATTCACAAGAAGATGCTTGTGAAGCTTGTCGACTTTGTAACGAGTGTGATCGGGAGAGAAGGAGCAAGGCTGAGGAGGAGTGCTAGAGATAGGTATCATTGCGCCCAAAGACAACAAATGGAGTCTTCTTCTGGCTTCTGAGACCAACTATCTTCCATGCTAGATCTATGAACTGCAGAAATTCTTAACTCATAAAGCTAGAACAAGTCATGAAATTCCATGCAAATTCTTTACAGGTGTAGTAAAAAGAGAGACAGTGAATGAGATCAACCTTCAACATTTAATAGCCACTACATCAATGTCTATATAGACATTGTATACCGCTTATTCAAATGTTAATCCTTTTGCTCACCCCTTAATGTTTGACATTCACCTAGTAAATATCATTAGCATCTTATTAAATATGTCAATAATCATGTTTTTATTATTTGAAAATCAAATAAAGTGAAATGAGCACTCCAGGCCAAGATATAATTAAACAAAAAGACTTTGCACTCCAGGAAGAAGTCACACTTAGTCTGCTGTACCTCTCTAAGCCTTCGTTATTTGTTTTCACCATTGCCACTCAGAAACTTAGTTGAAATTTTGCATCTATGGATTCTTTCTTCAAGTAATAGCAAGCACAAAGATCCTTCATGTCAGTTGCAGGGCTAGCAGCGACCAAAATAGGATAATGAACAAGCTGTAACAAGAAGAAATTAGCATGTTGAAGTTTTCAGCCACTTTATTTCATGTGGGTGGGGCTACAAGTGACGTTTTGATGATGAAAACATCCTGTCAAACTCAACTGAAACCAACTATTTTAAAAAAAAATTACATATGTAGTTAAATCAGCTCTTATATTGTTTAATTGTATTTCTTCAAATGCATTGGTTTTGTAATTCTGAAGTGATTTGTTTTGTTGTTTTTCTTTTTGTGTTGCCACTGGTTGAAGATTGGGAAGCAAATTCCTCATACTGACAGTTCTTTGTCGTTTGGTCCCACCTTTTTCAACTTTTGTAACGAACTTTCAGGAGATGCATAACGAATACACAGCCTAAGATTACTTATATACAAATGTTGAGCATTCTCTTCAACCACAATTGTGGTTCTTGGAATATACTGTGTAGACAAACATGGGGTCAGTCAAATTAGAGTAATTGTTACTGGTGTTATAGGGTAACTATCATGTATTATACTAATGATGTGTATTCAGTTTTACTATTCAAAAGAAATTATTCACTGAAATGTGAGCTCTCAAAGATGTTTTTTTGCTTCCTTTTATGCTACTTCCTGTCAGTGGGTGTGGTTAAATGTGACATCACAAGAAGCATAGATGCTTGTAAATACGTTGCTTGATAGGTGAAATTGGTCCTTTTTTTGCCTAATAATGCAATAGCACTGATGTAAAGAAGTGGGATCATTACCATTTCTTATTCTTAGTATGGTAATGCAAGACAAAACTCAAAATTCCACTTACAAGTGATTGCTTATGTTTGCTATTGTGAGTCTTTATCTTGCATTGCCATACTGAGAATAAGACTCAAAATAGCAAACTTAAGCATTCACCTATAAGTGGAATTTTGAGTTTTTTCTCGCACTGCCATACTAATAGTGCGTTTACACTAACGAAGTGGGCCAAACCCTGCTGAACCAGGCTGAGCTGGCCTTACTGTACTAACCATGCTGGCCTGGTTTGGCCCAGCTCACTTCCGCTCAGTTTGGTACTGTTTACACTAACTATCAAATGAAACTGTGCTGGCCCAATTTAAACAGGCCTGGCTCTGTTAAAGAAGCTGGTGTAAACGTAGAATAAGAATAAGGAATGATAATGATCCGATTCCTTTACATTAGTACTATTATTAGGCAGAAAAATAAAAGATCAATTACAGCTTTCCTTGTACTAAAAGGACAGTCATTTAATGATATTATTAACTGCATGAGAACGAAAAAATTAAGTCATGTATGCTTTTTAAAATCATTAGTATAAGTAATTGTTTAAATGCCATTTTTTAATTTGGGCATCTACAATATGAACAGTTAGCATTAAAGCTAAACTACTATGTACTCCAAGTCCATCAGCTCTTCTGTCACTGTATGGAATTGATGAATTACTGGACTACTGACTGATTTGATCACTATATAAAATTCATTTAAATGCATCAGTGGAATGATTTCAACTCGTGTCTCACTAAATAAATTTCAACAATCATAATATGGCGCGATTTAAGGTAGAAATTTTAGCAAAATGAATGATACAGTCTTGACTAATGCTGCTTGGAATAATATTAAACTGTAATGAACATGTTGCTGTTGCAGAGATAGTCCGTTGCTAGTCTTGCGTAGCCAGCTCCTCCCTATGTGCCTATGCGAGGGTCTGGCTGGGCAAATTGACCACACTCCACCCGTTCTGTTTCACCCAAAATTGGGTAAACCAGAAGTATGGCGTCACAATGCAATGTCACATATCTCCTCAAATTACCATAAATTTGACCGTTTACTTACACATGGTTGAAATTAGTCTACCCAACCCACTTGAGTCTGACATGCGAAACTAGATTCAAACACAGTTCAAACTTCAAGCTATGTCTCTTCCAGCTGCAGATTCTCTCTCTTTAGCCGAGGCTAAAGTTGGTATAACTCTGAAAGACAAACAAAGAGAAGCAGTGCTTGCTGTTTTACAGAATAAAGATGCTTTTTGTATTTTACCAACTGGTTGTGGCAAGTCCCTATTGTATGGCATACTTCCTACATTCCAGCTTTTGACTACATAGTGGTTAAGTTAGTATCAAACACTAAGCATTAAAGTTATTTTGCACTAGGTAGAGAAGTAGGAGTGAGAAAAGTTGTATGTATTTGTCCCTTGACCTCACTAATGCTAGACCAACGAAGTAATTTTACCAGCAAGGGGATCTGCATTGAGTATGTTGGTGAAATTCAACATGATCAAGAAGTCATTAAGAATATAGTCAGTGGCAATGTCCCACTGATTCTAGTTAGCCCTGAGAATATTACATGCAACCCACTCTATCGAGGAATGCTGCACAATAAAGTGTTTAAAGATAATATGGCAGTCTTACCAATTGATGAAGCACATTGTGTTAAAACATGGTAAGATTGACACTTGTATTACATGAGTAATTATTCTTTCCATTCAGTGGAGATCATTTTCAAACAACGCTGGCTGAATTTGGTCACATTGGCAGTTCTTTACCAAGTGTACCAGTAATAGCCGCAACAGCTACTGCAACAAAGACAACTTTTGAATCTGTGGTAAAGAGTTTGCTAATGGAGATTGTGGTAGTGATAGGAATTTCATCCTGTGGAAACAACATCTTTTTGACTGTTACGTTTGTGTCTTTGAGTGAGTTTGCAAACAATGTGTATACTCAATTGAGGAAGGAAGGATTAAATTACCATAAAAATGTAATTTTTTGCCATTCATATTCAGATTGTAACTTAGTATATGACAAAATAGAGCTATTCCTTGGTCTTTACATCATATATCCCCCTGGAAAATCGATGGTTTGTCAATATTGTCTTCTTGATTTATACACAAGAGCTAGTACAGACGATGTTGAAAAAAGTCCCTGATGTATTTGTGAAAAGAGTTCACAAATTAGAATAATAGTAGCAACCTGTGCAGTCAGGATGGGTATTCACTGCTCAGATATGAGACATATATGTCACTAGAGATCACCTATTACTTTGGAGGATTATGCTCAGAAGTAGGCAGAGCTGGACGATATCCCAGAGGTAGAATTACTCCTGGTATGCAAGGGTATAGAAACAAGCGTAACAGTGTAAAAATATTCCTATAATTGTTTTTACCACCTTGCAAGTACAACTGGGTTCTTATTAAGACTTATGAAGGTTCTCTAAACCTTCTAATGTTTCTAGAGAAGTCTTTAGACAGTACCTCTATGTTCTTTCACTGTTAGAAAGATCATAACTTTGTCCCGTGTGCATGCCGCCATTTTGTTTGCCGTGACCACACCCACTTACGTAGCGTGGACAGGTGGTTGCTAATGCTTGTTATTTCTCCAATACAACATGTATAGAAGAAATGTAAGTGTTGACATACATATATATATATATATCGCACGTGGGTGAAATCAATTATAGGACGACCTGGGGGCTATGCCCCCAGGTCGTAAAAACGCAATCCATTGCAGGCACAAGTTGATTTATGACACTTTTCTACTTCATGAAGAAACATCTTTACAGAATAACTGTGATTGTTCGGACATATGTGAACATATCTGTAACTGTTCACTGCATAAATGATATGTTTATAATATTAATTGTTTGTTAGTAATATTATTATTTTACAAGGAAAAGAAAGAGTGAAAGAATTGGTGGCTTGCAGTACGCGAATGAAAGTCTGGTCCTAATCCAACATAAAACAATACTATAGTTCTGTCCCCACTTTGATGACAATCTTTCAGCTGGCTGTTTATAAAAATGGTGGCTTCCTTACCCAACTTTCCATCAAGTGATACACATAGGGGTGTGAATTGAGCTCTTCTTTCACTGCACGCTTGATTGTACTTCCTCTTTTTCTCTCGTTCTGCAGCTAGTAATACTTCAGATGGTGAGCGGTTGCTGTAAGACTGGGCGTCAGTGTCTGATGTCAAACAACCCCTCAGACTGTAGCATCCAGACAGTTCAGCTATACTGAGGCAGGACTACCAGATAAATGATGTGTCTTACGTACTACTGGCTCTGGTGATTTCAGTAATTGCAAGAGAGGCCAAATCCCCAAAAGCATCCCTTCATTGTGATGTTGTGTAACTAAACCCCCTTTTCTACATGACAGAGCATGAGAGAGATCAAATGGTGTGTTACACCCATCACAATGTGGTGGTATTTCTAGTAAAGGTTTCCTATACCTGATGGCAAGGGCGTCTCTAAACTCCTGTGCAGATAGGGCAATGCGATGTTTAGCTACAGGGTTTACTGTGAGCCACGAAGACATCTTGTCATCCTTAGCTCTACACATGGCACCATATTATTCCTGATCAATCCTAGTAGAATAATAAAACCTCTAGCATATCTGCGTCCTTGTTCTTATTGATCTTCTTAATATATGACTCATAGTATTCTGTAAACTCATCGATATCAAATTGACCATTTTCTTTTAGAGCATTAGTATAAGGGGTGGTATGCTTCGTTGAGTTTGATTAGTTTTTATCAGCAGTGGTGGCTAAAGTATATTGAGGCCACTGATCCTTGTTGGAAGAGAAAGAGAGTACGCTCACTATTGGAGATCTCACAACCAAGAAGAGTTGATAACAACTTCTTGATAACAGTTTCACTGGACCAAACAATTCCCTCTGCAGATATGTCCATTGAGATTGTGTTGATCTTGTGTAGGCAGAGTATTGTGGCTGTGTCTCAGCAATAACAATTAGCCTTTCAAGTATCTTAACCCATTGACTAACACAGTCCTTAACATTATTCAATGATCCAATCTTATTACCAATAACACTACCAAGCAGCCTATGGCTGGTTGTCACATTCACACCATAACTCTGAAATAGACCACAAGCACTTGAAACATAATCAGAATTGACAACAAGAACTCATTTCCGAGGTTCAAAATGGTGACCTGGGGAACCATGACAATAAATCATCCAATGAAGCACAAGCTGAGGCATTGTCTGCATACCATACGTCTCTACCTGTGTTAGGATGGCTAATGTGATGAATCAGTGAGACTGTAGCCACAGCATATATAAACATTGAGAGTGGGTCCCCTTGAGTTACCCCTTTGTTACTGTATAAAAACTCATTTGAATCTTTGACCACCAGAGGTGCCCTACCTCTGTATGTATAAAATACAAACATGAACAAATAGGCCAAAGAATATGTGGGTATTCCACAGAGCTGCCTGACAGTTAATACTATTAAAAGTGTTCGATGCATCAATCATCAAAACTCCTTATCCATGATTCTCATTTGCCTTAAACAAATCAGACTCAGTATGTATTGCAGCCTCAATCCCACACTTAACTCTTCCACAGAGTTGGGTAATATTACTTGTATTATTGAGATCATACCTTGTTAGAAAACGAACAGTCTTACAAGTTATTCTTAGAGTCTTACCAATTCCTATGGGACGAACACCAGGACACTTACCTAGAGCTACCAGCTGACATGACATAAGTGCATAAATATCATCCCAAGGAACAACGTTGTTCGTGAGATGACAGACCAGGGTGGCAATGAAACCCTGAAGACGATCACTATGTGCCCCATAGCGAAGGAAAACATCGTGCCAGTGGCCAGCGTTGGTACCCAAAGGTCCGGCACTGCCTTGAATGTGGGAGGCTGTGAAGTGAATGTGTGCACCAGTAACCATTTGATCTAGTCTTGGAGGGAGAGTATCACACTTAATCAGAGCAGACTCGGGTGGACATTGCCAATCTGGGTGTTTCGACTTTAAAGCATCTAAAATTGTCGTAGTAGACGAATGACGGTCTCAGGTCATTGTTTCAATTACTTTACTAAAAGGTAGTATAAGTCCCTTTGACCACTCAGAGAGCCATTGCACAGTTGCCCTAGTCTTGCCCTGCATTATTAATTTTTTTTAAAACAGTGACCAAATGATCGGTGTCCTCTTTATAGGCCTGGGTCTTGAGAGTACTGTCACACGCAACAGCTTCATTCATTAAACTATCAAAGCCTTCAATTGTCCCTTTCAACAACCTTCTCTCCATCAATGCTCTTATATCAGTCCCTTTCCTTACCGTACGGGTTCTTTGTAATATTACATCAGAAAAAGCCATCAGCCTTTCAGAGGAATAGTTCCCAGCAGCGACTTCCTCAGACAGTAGATCGACATATCTTCGACCAATGGATCCTCCAGGGACATGGTATAATCTTCCTTTCAAGTGAGTAACCAGTGGCAGGACCACTCACTGTCTGGCACTGTAGTACAGCACAAAGTATCTCCAAAGGCACACGTTATGTACTGTTCAAAGTCAAGGATACTTGTACGAGCGCTAGATGAAGACGAGGGCCTGCACATTGACAGGAGAAACCAATGGCGGCGAAGGACAGTCATGATGTTGGGAAAGAGATGGTATGGAGCTGCTAGTAGTAGATTGTATGGTTTTTTGGTCAGGTTTCTTTCCTTTTAGGAAGACAAGAGAAACACTTAGAGCCTGTCTTCCGGCAAAAACAGGACTTACATACAGCACTGGACCCATTACAGGCACAGCACTTCATGCTACCACCCTCGATTTTTTCTTATTATTATTATTATTATTATTATTATAAAACAACAATAGAGACTGTAACACATACATGTAGATAATGTTATGATGGGAATAGAGGGAAAGCCCTACAGAACAACAGAAATAAAGAAATACAAGAAGACAAGGAAAAGTAGGAAGAATTATTATTTTTATTACTATTATTATTATTATTAGTATTATTATAAAATAAATTAATTAATATCTCAAATGATACAGATAGATTAGGTAGGGTTAGAGCTAGAAAGAAAATAAAATATGTCATATTTATAGAGGTAGAATGAGAATAAGAGTAATATTTAAGACATTATGAGGGATAGAGTTGCATCATCAATTATTACTATTATACATATTCAGCTGCAGGGGTCCCATCTCATCTTGAGCCATCCGGCTTGGCTAGATCTGATGGTAAGAGACTGGATGGAGTCACCATGGTCCCATAGTCATTAGGTAAGCCCCTTGTTTCGGATGCCACATGCCCTGACACCCTAGCACCGTCTTATGAGAGCATTCCATTTCATGGCCCTGGGTCTTTTGCTAAGGCTGCTAAGGTGAAGAAGTGTGCTAAGTAAGATGCCCTCCATCAGTCATACTCCTTCACTCCTGTGGCAATAGAGACCTTTGGTGCCATTGGTTTATGTCCCTGAAGTTCCTCTGTCAGCTGGGAACTTGAATTGGGGAGCAGTTTGGGGAGGAGTCCTTCTCATAATTGATGCATCAGATTTCAGTCGTGGTACAAAAGGCCAACGCTGTGAGTGTTATGGGGTCCCTTCCTGAGTCTGCTCATCCTGACAAATTTTTCTTTTTGTAGTTATTTACTTAATTAGTCCTTTTTGTATAAAGTATTAGAATTGGTAAAATGAAGTTAGTATAGGGAAATAATAGGTTAATTAAATCATTGTTATTTAGTAAGAAAATAAAAATGGGTTGATGCCTAACCCATCCTCGATGGTTATTATTATTATTGATAGTACATAAATAATAATAATAATAATAATGATAATTTTATCATGTCAAATTTCAATTGACCAATCAGAGAGCAGAATACCAGATTTCTATGAGATACCTCCCAGGAACACTTAGAAACCTCCGGCAAACACTTACAAACCTGGCGCTCTACGCTTATGCTCTTATTAATCCATTTGTCAAGCTTGGTGGTTTCTTTATTGCCTAGCATGTTAGATATGTTGTATGTATGTCAACTCTACTTCAGTGAATAACCTATAATTTGTAGTACAGATAATAATAATTTAAGTCTAGAGTTGATCAAAATAATTATAATATTGATAATATTAATTGCATTAAAAATAAGTCACCTAAGAAACAAAACACTAGGGATTGAAGAGCGAGACAACAAAAATATAGAAAAAATACTAACAAAAGTAATAATGATAATAATAAATTCAGTAAGCATAAACTATTGTAACAATTAAAACTCAAAAAAATCATAAATAAATAAATGACATTAATAAACAAATAAATAATAACAATAATAATATTAGAATAATAAACAATTATTATTATTATTTTTTTTAAACTTTTATCTATTTTAGATATTACTGATATACATTATTATACTTTGTTACACATACAATAGCATTAATTATTGCATAAATGAGTACCTATTATATCCACCATTCTGCCAGTTACCTTATCTTTATTGTACGTCTCCAAGACAAATTCTTTAAAGGAAAATGAAGCATGTCTTCTATGTGGCTGGTTAATCAGGACTCTTGGAGATTCTTCCAAACTCTCAATCATGGCATTGACATCTTTCTGATTGGATGGAATGCTATGCTTCTGTGAAACCGTCGCTCTGCAAACTGATTACAAATATTTTTGTACTACTAGTGCTTTTGCAGCTCGAGTGATGGTACCAGTACCAATATTTGAGTTCAGATTTCTGAGAATCTCCTTTAGTCTTCTATTTCAGTGTTCCTGATGAAGGTCGCAGGGATTGTTGCATTCAATACGTCCAGGAGTGTTTATGAACCTATCATATGCTAACTGCTGTGTTTTGCGTTTAGAAAATACATAAAATGATATTGTGCTAGCAAGATTACGGCCTCTTTTCTATAGTTCACTCTATTGGTAGCATCATATACTAGAAATAAAAATTTCTATATAAGCATTACTCTCTTAGTTCACTCTATTGGTAGCATCATATACTAGAAATAAAAATTTCTATATAAGCATTACTCTCTTCCTGCCACCTTCTCTTATTGCGTCATGAAATGTGTCCTACAGTAAACAGAGAGTGATTAGTTCAGAGGAATATGTCAGGACACCATCAGATGTGTCTGTGCCAGCAGGAACACTTAACAGCCTTACATATCTTTTAATAACAAGCTCTTCAACATTAAGTGATATCACACTCTCATTCTTTACTTCTTTTGTTGCAACAACTAAGTTGGAAGTGAAATCTTTCGATAAAAGTCTTCCTTGGCTTTGACATTGTTTGGGCATGATTATTTGGAACTGATGTATCTCTGACTAAATTTTTAAGTGCATTAATGTTCCCCATTTGCCTTCCTGATTTAGCTTCATTAATTGAGCAAATAACGCATGTAAATATATGCATACAGTTGAATCGCAACCGTCTGAATTTTGACAAGTTTATTTGCACCGGAAGGGGGTGGTACTCATAACATTTAATATGGCGCTCATAGATGAAGGCTCACTGAAAAAAGGAGCACTTTCAGTGCAGCGTCTTTTCTGAAGACTTCTGCTGTACCATATCAGGTTAATGAGACATTTAGGTTGCTATACTTATTTATTTTGAGTTAATTTTTTTCATTTTATTTAGCGGCAGTTTTGTGACAGCATAAGTCTCGTCATGTGGGTGGTGTTGTGTCAGTTGAGGTTTTATAAGTCAAAGAGGAAGTCTGGCACACACATGAAACTCTTACATCAAGTTCCAAGATGCTTTATCTATCATTACTTTTTTCGTAACTCTATACGGCTGTAAAAATGCAAGTGTGCCATTGTTATAGACTTATAGCAAGAGTAGATAATAGAAGAGAGTGTTCTACTGTGATATACCCCCTGCTTCATCACGTCGTAAAATTGAAGAGTCACATTCAGGATATTTCAGTATTTTATTTTTAGTAGTTATTAAAAATTAATTATTCATTGATGGGTTTGAACTATGGGCGGGGCTGTAGAGCGCGCCGAAAACGGCAATAATACCACCCGTACGTGCAATCTGCGATCTTCTTGTGCTGTTTCTGCTCATTTTAAAATGTTTGCTGTCATCATTCCTCTACTTCTACCAGTTTTTTTTCAAAACTACACCCAGTCTTTCTTGCTTTTTTTAAATTTTACTCTTTTTTGTGATGGCAACTCCTGCAGAGGCTAGCTCAATCGCCCCCCAGGACTCAATCACTGATGCTACCTCATCCATGGCTGCAGAGAGATCAGGGTCATCAGCGGGTCTGATATATCTAGATCAAATTGTTCAACTCATTAATAGTTCTGATTACTTTGTAGCAGTTCAAACTAGTATAGAAGCTGGAAGTTGTGACTCTGTTGTAATTCTACACATGCAACTATATCATCACCCTCCTTTGGGCCATATCTCTAGGTGTAGAATACTCATTACAAAAAAGGGTGAGTACACCATTCACATTATTTATCAATTAATGAAAGAGGGCATTTTGTCATCAACGGTTTTCATTGAAACCCAGCTAAAGGAGTTATGTGCTACTTACTCGCCATACTCCACAAAATATAAGTTTTGCCCTGGCATTGCAGTGTCAGAGTACCAAAAGTTCAAAGAGATTGTTTCGTTTGATCCAAAGGATGTGAGGATTTCACAACATCCAACAGCACGAATTGACTCCAAATCTTGTGAAGTTTGGCACAGCCTTGGCGAGAGATTGACAGTGAGCAGAGAGAAAAGAGAAGCAGACGCCGTATTATGCCATAGCTGCATGAGACTAAATTGCAACCTCAGTCACCAAGTGAAAAAAACTATGGCAGAAAGTCCTTCAAAAAAAAAATTATACAACAAAGTGCATCATCACATGCCCGCTTGACATACATGTCACCTCAAAGTCAAGCAATGAGGAAGCAGAACATTAAAATTGATCGAGGCTCTTCAACCAGGATATTGACCAGACACGAAGGTAACACTGTAGTATTGGATTCAGAGCAAGATGAAGAAATGGCCTTAATACACAATGTTATTAATGAACAGTGCTCCAAAGATTTGGAAGATGTAATATCTGAGGGAGAGAAGCATGGAGTGAGCGATAAATTGAGAGCTGTGTGGGCTAATGACAAGCGGACAATGAGGAGTGATTTTGTGAAGGACCAAAAGAAAAACTGTAAGAAATGAACTTTTGAAATGACATTTATTAAACAACTTTATCTACATATAGGTACTGGGCAAAGGAATAACAGATGGAGTTATGTTACTATAAGAATGGGTATATATCTTTTTGTGAGCATGCATTGTATATGACTATTCATTATATACTTTACATAGCACTGGCAGTTTTTAGCAGAAGTCCAGCAGCATATGAAGCACTAAAATCTTTTAACATATTACAACTACCATCACGATCTACATTGCAAGCTTACACTGGAGCTTTTTTGCATGATGCTGGCAGCAGTAGTGACAGTATCTCTGAACAATTGGCTCAGTTCATTCTTCATGATGCTGAAAGAGTTAAGAAAGGATGCAAGCCATCAATGAAAGCAGGTAAAGGGGTATTTTAGTCATTAAGTTAAAGCAAGTAATCATAACTTATTAGGGGCACTAATTTTTGATGAGGTAAAGGTAATTGGAAGATTGCTTTGGAACTCAAGAAGCCAAAAAATCATTGGTCTTAGTATGACACGGGAGGATTTAGCAACATTAGCTGATGTATACCAAGAGTTAAAGGATGAAAGCAATCAACAAACTTCATATATAATGCAGTTCTTATGGCGAGACTTGACAAGTATGTGTATAAAATGCATTCAGCTATAACATCACTGTATTGTACAGGTGATTTTGATATCATTGGACCATATTACACTAGTTGTACCTCATTTAAAAACAAGTTTGTGTACTCATGTGTAATTGAGACCATCAAGCTATTTCATCTGCATGAGCTTACAACACTTCTTTTGGTATGCGACGGTGCTTCATCCAATCTCACTATGCTGAAAGCAACTCATGGTCATTTTGGTGTTTATTCAATTTCAAATGGTATGTCTTTGTTATACTATAAACCATTAAACCATTTGTTTAATCTTGTTAATTTTTGAGCCACTTCTTGTATACATGCAAATATTTGTTAATTACCTAAATAGCCTAATAATTATAGTTCTATTATACAGAAGGTGATGACCCATTCACTGTACAACCAGTCATGATAAACCCATTTGATCCACCAAACCTTATTTACTGGCTGATCTGTCCCACTCATCAAGTCAGTTTATAATCATTATAATAATAATCACTTTCAATAACTGACTTCTTTTCACATAATGTAGCTAAAGAACATGATCAACGCATTATTTTCTTCTAAATCAGAAGGTACAAAAGAGTTCATACAACAGGAAGTGTCATTTGGGTGGAAATCTATTCTTGATTTGTGGGAAAGAGAATGTAGGAGAATTAGCAGTGGTGAAACTAGGATGGTCCCTAAGTTAAAGGAAGTACACATAATTACTTAATTAGAAATTTTTGGACAAAACTTAATGTAACTCCAGCAAAAATCATGCAGGTTTATTATGTTAGATAATTACTGAAATGAGTTTAATATTTTAGCAAGAACATGTACTATCAGAGTTATTCCGTCACATTGAAGAAATGACTGCCACTAAAGAATGCTGCACAAGTGATTCAAACACATTACAATTTTTGGAAGCATGCAACAAGATATTTGAAAATGGTTTTCTGTCACACTCAAGAGTTGTCAGCATGGATTCAGAAGTTTTAAAATCTATAGATGAAGGATATCAATTTTTTAGTAATTGGCTAAAAGAAGTACAAATAAAAAAAGGTATCTTTATACAGATTAAAAATAAATTTATAATTATACATTTATATAGGCTCAAGTTTCAACTATGCTGACCCAAACAAAGAGTTTTTAGCATGGCAAAGTAAGCTATATTCATGATCCTTAACTTCAAAATGATTTTTTTGTTAAAGCATTTGATTTGCTTCGTGTGGATGTATATGGATTTAAGTTTTTTTTGTCAATATTTTCTTACTAAAATACCCATCTTACTTTGTATCTCCCTTACGTGTTTCTGGTTCAGCAGTGGAAACGTTGTTCAGTCAATATAAATACAATGCTGGAGGGAAACTTGATGCTGTGAATTATGCTACTGCTAGAGCTGCAAGCCTGGTTAAACAAGTGGTATCCAGCCATCATTGCTCTAAAGATTATAAAGATCAGCCCTTACAAACAACAGAACTTCCACTAAATAGGAAACAATATCAAAAGAAAGCCTAATGCTAATTCAGTCTCACTATAACCTTCTCCACTCTGACTCTCTCTCTTTCTTTCTTTTTACCTCATAATGTATTCTCCATAGACTAGACTTATATGTGTTATTCCAAATCACAGCTAGATTGCCAGCATGACTTTCTCATTAGTTTGAGCCAGTTATCAGATATTATCATTATTATTGTTATCATTATTATTATTATTGTATACATAGGCTATATGATACCCTTTAATCAATCATTAACTAATATTCTATATTTGTGCGTAAATAAGTATGGTGGGTAAGTAAATTGTCACGTAGATTTTGTCCAGATGTAGTGGCTTGTCCTTTTTCATGTGCCATCTTCTGACGTTGTACAGATAAAAACTCTTCAATCCTTATATCACTGAGTTTACGTACCATCTCTTGGTATACATTTTTAATGGGTATATCTTCTTGCACTACTTCATCTGTCAATGACAACTTTCTTTGAATTTGCTTGTTAAACTTTTCCTTTAACTCTTTTTCCTTAATTTGCATGAAATCATGGGCCACTTTAACTAAATCATCACGGTGTTTCTGAAAACCAGAAGGGTTAACCACTTGCTGTACAAATGTGTCGACTTGCTTAAAAAAGGGAATAAACGAAGGGTCGGGAGTGTACATGTACCCATGATCTCTATACCTTAAATAAGATGGCATGTCTGCTCTTGACTTGGTAGCAATAGCTTGCAGAATGGGGATTTCATTCGAAATGGTCGCAATCTTTTCTTGGCTGCATCTCCTAATACTTTTGTATCTTTCTTGTAGCATGTTTGACAATGTTGCTCCTCCAAATCGATAGTAAACATTGTCTTTGTCAGCAGGTTGTTCAGTGTCGTGACCTTGAGTGTGCTGGCTTGGTTTCTCAATGATTTGGTGTAAATGCTCCAGCATTAACTGAAATACTAATGATGATAAATGAATCATGATCGTCTTGCAAGATGATGTTTCCTTGAAACCATGACAAAAATTGTACCATATCTTCCTAATATCTGCGTCTGTCTGTGAATAATCAACTTGCACTGCACTTATGCAAGTATCTTCTGGCAGAAGAAAAATGCTGCACCTGTTATGCCACTGAATTTGAAGTCGCAAATACTTTTCTTTTGTTCGACCTTTGCTACAATCCTCATAAATAGTAATAAATAACTGCTTATGGTACTGTACAAGCAGATAAAAGGAGATCACATGATCATTTACTAACCTATTTAGTGTGGTGCACTGGTTAGTTGCTTGACAAAGATGTTTAAGTTTTGTTCTGGTTTTATCGACAAGTGAGTCCAGCTGATATGATTTTAAGAATGTAGCATTTACTTTCCTCTGACTTGCAGAGTGCTGTTTGTGACCACGACTACGTGACTTCACTACTGTGGCTGCAGATAATGACCAGGGGTTTTCTTCATTTTTATGAAGATTAGGTGTAATAATCTCATCATCTGGCATGACATCTTCTTCACTAGAGTTATATACTGAGCTACTAGCCTCTGCAGGAGTTGCCATCGCAAAAAAGAGTGAAATAAAAAGAAAGCAAGAAAGACTGGGTGTAGTTTTGAAAAAAAAAACAAACTGGTAGAAGTAGAGGAATGATGACAGCAAACAGTTTGAAATGAGCAGAAACAACACAAGAAGATCGCAGATTGCACGTACGGGTGGTATTATTACCGTTTTCGACGCGCTCTACAGCCCCGCCCATAGTTCAAACCCATCAATGAATAATTAATTCTTAATAACTACTAAAAATAAAATACGGAAATATCCTGAATGTGACTCTTCAATTCTACGACGTGATGAAGCAGGGGGTATATGCACAGTAGGACACTCTCTTCTATTATTATCTACTCTTGCTTATAGTAAGGCCTGTTTGATTATATCATTATATAAATGTAACTAAAATAGCCTCATTACTTCAGTCAGCTAATTTTTAGAATGATAATGAAATTATAACTCAAAATGCTTATTAAGTGATTAAATTAAGAATCAGGTATCATGATTTTACAAATAAACTATACAATGTTGTAGTCTGATATATCGTCAGTAATTAACTCTGTCTCTACACTATTGTCAATTTCATCTTCACTACTTGCATTCTGCTCATCATCCTCACTTTCATCCGCTGATGCGTCATTCTCTTCAATGTTAGTTATGGTATCACTATCATTATTACTTGATGTCATGGTATTGCTACAGTCTTTGCACTCACATCCAGCACCACATTGTTTCCCTTTTTTCTAGCATCCACATCTATTGCTATGGCAACCACTTTTGCATGAACAGCCTTTATTTCAGTAAGAAGTCTATGTTTGATTGTATTAGCTTTCTTACGCTGTCATCTTCCCAATCTACCTCATACTTCTCAAATTCATTTTTCTACCATCCTTGTGTGTCTGGTGCATTTAAATTGGCAAATAAGGAATGGTTTTTTGAGTTTCTCCACATTTCTTTAATCCAACACGATCTTTTTCAGTGTCTCTCTAATGTTGTAAGTGTCGGTAGGCGCTGTGTTTCATTCATTGGATTTATTGATTGTTTTATCAGTTGATACCATATCTTATGTCTTTCATGCTTTTTGAAGGATCAGTGCTATTGAATAATTGTATGGGTGTTTCAATACCTAGATTAGATGAATCAGAAGCTAGGTTTTTTTTTAAATAGACAGTTCCAATTAAACAAGCAAATGACAGAAATCCTAAGTCCATTGTCTCATTAGATGTATCAGAAAGGGAGCCAATCATTCTGCCTGTAATAAAATTGGCATTCTCAAAAAAAAACTTTCAAAAAGGTTGCTTTTCCTATTCCAGAAAAATAAGAGATATAATCACAACCAGTAGTGATGTAGAGTTAAACAATGATGCTCTCAATGTTGCTAGATGTCAATGAAGCAAGATCTGGATCATGATGAAGGCAAGTTATTAACCTGTTAAGATAAAAAAATCTTTGTTGATTGTGTAGCAAATTTATTTGTACTACTACTTGTTTTGTAGGATGATAGTGTAACATTAGAAGCCCAATATTATAAACATCGGTATCAGGTGAATAAATCAATATTTTGTTTGATTGTACCACTGTAACGTACCTCCACATTTGCATGTTTGCTTTTGATAAATCTGATTTGTACCATTCTATGCATTCTGGAATACTACTTCCTTTTATTCTCCATGAATTATCTTCATTTTCTCCTGTGAAGCAGCCAGCGAGGATTAGCACTTCGTAGTTTTTGAGAAGATGTTGTGCTGAACGAAGATAAACAAGTCCAAGTGCTTCTACCAGTGATCTTTTGCATATGTGACATAGAAGATATTCTCTCCATGGCTTTGGAATATCAGAGTCATAATTGAAAGTAAGATGAACATGTGATGTATTTATTTTAACATTTGACTCATATCGTCTATTGTGTTCATAACACTTGGGCTTAAATTGCAAAGGCTTTGGGTGGTCAAAAACTAGATGGATTTCATTTGAGCCCTTTATGTAGTATGGTAGGATAAATTGCCTCAATAGTAAATCTGCATATTGTGAGATTTTTTTATGTTGCCTGAGAGGGGTTGTATTTATGAGGAACATAGCATCGATTATGACAATATCTGGATTCCATTGTGGATTGTCAATAAATGGAGTATATTCAGGGACAGTATACCAACTCTCTATCTTGTTAGTCCAGTTGCTTTTATTTCCTTTATGAGGTAAACCATTTAAGTCGGCTATTGCTCTAGGCAGCAAGGAATATTGTTCTACAGCTGCATCAAAGCTTTGTCCTGTTTGATTACACCAAGCTAGCCTTCTTCGTAGACATTTATTCACTTCACGTTCATCAATTTCCTCTGGTGTAATCTTTTTACTTTTCTTTTTCACTGATGGTGCCATTGTCAAGAGTCTTCTTCTAACTAGAGCATTTGAAACACTAGGTTGCTTTAATATGTAATGAGAAATATAGTTTTGATAGTCCTCTTGCCCCATTTTTCATGCATTAATAAGGTCATGGTTTTGTTCGTTAGAGGCAACTGTGCCATTGAATGTGTTAACTAAACCTCTATTGCATGTAGTAGTAGTACTGATGAAGTTACTAGCTTTTATAAGTGACCTCATGTTCATAATGTTTTCCTCTACTTTCTTGTTTACAGTACTATTATCAACTAGAGCAGTCGGGTCTTCATAATGTAATGGGAAATAATTGAGAGAGAAATTGTTTGTGTGCTTTAATTTGATATGAGTAAAAGTGTAGTGTTTTATTAAGATATGGTAATGTTGGCCTCACAACAGACATTTTCATATCTTTATTGACACACATTTCACGGGATTCATCAAGAGCTGTTGCGTGGCCAACTCCTGGAGATAATTTAACTGTAAATGATCCCTCTTCCAATGCTAGTAAAATAGCCTCAGGATAACTTTGAATATCTGCAATATGATCAGGCGACAGCCTCTGGTAGTGAAGTCGATCATAGGCTGCAAAAAGTGGAGCAATATTTTTTAGTGATGACATACGAAGCTTCCAGTTTGATGTTCGTATTGATATATACAAACTAAAGTAAGAGAAAAATCATTGAAGACAAATTGCATCCACATCTTATATGTGTCATCTAAGCTTGCTTGATTTTCCACAAAATCATAAAATAGTGCCAATACATCTTCACTCAGTATACTTTGTATATTCAATAAATATTGCATTGGTTTGTTGGTGTTACTCTCAAACACTAACTTGGTTTCCTCTTTAAGCTGTGGTGCTATCATTGATAAAACTCTCAATCATTTCGATGAATAATGATTCCCAAACTTGTAAAAAAATTATGCGTCCTCTTAAAGTTCGAGCACTTTTCCAAAGATGACAATGTTTCTGCTCTGAACCCACTTTTGTTGGCAATGTCTTTCAACCCAACATGGTAATATTGTTTCATTAAGACTTGTTGAAAGTTTTTCAATATATGCCAGTCACCTGGAAATATCAGTATATTTTTTAGAGCATCACCATAAAGCCTGTTTGATTGCTGTAAATGTTGATATGTTTTTCCATCTCCAACTAGTATTATGTGCTGTTGTGTTGTGCCAGTTAGTTTCTGTTGGACAATTTCAGCTACTTGAGACATTGTATCTACAGAATCAGCATTTTCATCAATGAGTTCTATATAAAAAATGGTTGAACAATGGTTATCTTTTAGTTGAGCATCTGAAGGTAAAAGAAAATTTCTTAGTGATTTAAATGAAGTGGAACTATCTACTTATAGTCATATAGCTTTTT